ACCCAGAGCTTGTACAGAGCATCATGACTCTAAGAGCTACTTCCAGGGTCTTCACCATCCTCCATGACGCAGTGTTCTCATACTAACTATATGCAGGACTATCAGTCTGTTCAGTGATGGGATTGTTGCCGGGTCTTGAACAAACCACTGTCCTTCTCTGTAGAAGACCTGGGGGTGGGGAGGTCACCAGCCCTCTCTCAGGTCCTCTGCTTGCTGCTGTTGGAGAAACTCCACAGGGAATGAACGGTAGGGGCCCAGGCAACTTCATCAGGGCAATGAACAGTGTGAGGAGCAGACTGAGCCGGGGTTCCATCCTGTACACCAAGTGTTCCCCAGGAATACCTTATGGAGCCCACAGGGCCTGGCCCAGGGAAAGCCAGCACAGGGAAAGGGAAGGGAAGGGAAGCTAGAGCTGAGGAGCAAACCATCGGCCCCAAACCCACCTAAATAGGACCCTCAAGCACCTGTAGACCAGCTCCCACCCTGATCCTCTTGGCTTTCACTGGGAAAGGGTTTTGCAACCTCATTAAAGGCTCAGATCCTTGAGATACGGAATCTATATTACACAACATGGAAAGCCAAAGAGAATGAGATAGTGCTTGCAAGTTAGAAGAGAGCCAAGTGCCAATACTTGGTGGCATTACTAGCTCTCCACCTCCAGCTAAAAATAATAAATAACAGGAGAGATATAGAGGAAAAGAAAGAAAAATCTGGTTACCCCCTGAGCTCAAAATAAACACAGCAAAGCCAAAAAGCAAAGCCAAGTCTCCACTCTCTCTCCCCACTCAGGCCTATGGTGGAAGACCAGGGTTGTGAAGTTCCAGCAGTGTCTCCCCAGCAAATGCTCGGGAAGGGCAGACGCCTTTGGGTGCTGGGGTACTCCAGACAGGGGATGCGGGTCCACCTTTCCACTGCCCTTCGAGTTTAAGCAGAGGGACTCAGTGAAAGCCCGGCCCTGCAGCATTTAAGGATGATTTGCACTGTAGCTGGGCTGAGTCCATGAACTCAGTTCTTCTTTTGTTAAGGAACACGTGGGCAAAGACCCTGAGAGCGCTCTGGTATCTCTGGGAGGATGGCCAAAAAGATGAGTTCTGAACTTGGAAATTGGACCTCAGGGAGAGGACAGGGATGCTTCCCATCGTGGAATCCTGGTGCTGTTCTCTGTCTTCCTGGTGGATTAATGTGCATTTATGTGCGTGAATTCCATGCTCAACGTAGCAGGGCTAAGGGAGAGTTGCTGAGTGAGTGGGTGTCTTCTGGTGGATACAGACAGTGCTCATTATGCCTGCCTGAGGGAATCGGGGGGCAGCCTGCAGGACCCCCGGGGGTTCCTGTGGTTTGTTACTGGTGCTCCCACAGGAGCAGGCACAGCGCTGGGTGTGGTGCATGAGCCCCATCCCTCCTCACCTCTCGTCACTGTTAAGGCCTCTAGGTTGACGTCACCTGGCCGTAGCGGGAGGGTCCGAAGTCAGTCTGGTTCTGAGAGATCCCAGCTGCCTTCCACATAGGGGTGGGTGCTGTCACGTCAATGTCATGATCTGCTGTATCCCCTACTCACTGTTGCCTGTAGGGAATCTGCAGGTGATAGACCTGCTCACACTTCAGTTCATCTCTGCGTTTGGCTAGGCACTGCTGGGGATAGCACAGCATCTGCATAGACACCACCTAGCACCTGTCTTAGTCACTTTCTCATTGCTGAGACACAACGCCCAACACCCACAACTCTAAGAAGGGCTTATTTTGGCTCACAGTCTGTAGAGGTTTCCGTTCGTAGTCGGCTGGCTCTAAGGCAGGGTGGCCTGGCACAGGGGCATCGCAGGGGAGAAGCTGCTCCCACCACAGGCGCAGAGAAACAGAGAAAGAGAGCAGGGAAGAGATGCAGCCTTCCAGGCCACGACCCCATGACCCAGCTCCCCTGACCAGACCCCACCTCTTAACAGCAAGTCAGCTAGAAGCCCCCATAACCCACAAGCCCTGCCTACGAGTGCATGAGGCTTCAGGGACGTTTTAGATCTAAACCATAGTGACACCCAAAGGGAGGAGATTAAAATTGCAGGACAAATGCATATATGGACATGTGCGTAGTTGTAATAGGCTCTGTCAGGATGGTGCTGGGGAGCTCTTCCCCTCCAGTGCCCTCTACACCCAGGCCTCAGAACTCAGAGCTGCAGGGGTCCCTGGCCAGGGTGGCCCTGGGTGGCAGAGGCTATGAAAGATGAGGGCAAGAAGCTTGTGTGGAGCATTTCCTGTGGGCGGCTGGACCAAGCTTTAAACTTGGGCTCCTCGGCGGGGACAGACGAGGAATCACCAATGCCGGTGATAAGGCCGGGTCACTTAGTTACCCTGCTTTTAAAAAGTGGTACAACAGGGAGGGCACCACGGTGCTGTCTACGATCTTGGCTATTCAGAGGGCTGAGGCAGAAGGATCAAGGTCCAGGCCAGCATGGGCAACTTAATGAGATCCTATCTCAGAGTAAAAGATAAAAAGGACTGGAGACGAAACACAGTGGCAAAGCATCCTTGGGTTTGATCCCCAGCACCAAGAACAAAGAAACAAAAAGATGGAATGATCCTTATTTACACTTTCAGTTTCTCACACCAGAGAAACTGTTCAGAATTTATGCGTGTGTCCTGCTTATTGCACTTAAGGGTATCACCTTACTGTGCATCCACTCAGCTATAAATGTCTCCAGCTTACCATTCATTACAGCGGAGTACTCCATTTTATAGAAAAACCGCATCTTCTTTATCCAGTCACCAGTTGATGGGAGAAAAGGACCGATGGAGAAGGGGAAGTAGAGAGGGGAGGGTGGGGGAAAAGAAAGAAGGGAAGGAAAGAAATATGAGAAAAGAAGGAAGAAACAGAAACAAAAGGTTTGTAAATAGGAAGGGTGGAGGGGTAGAAGGGAGGGCAGGGGAATGGGGAAAAAACAAGAACTAATATATACATATGAAATGTACAGGTACAAATTCCCAGTGTTGAACGTGATCATAATGTGTACCCAAAATGTACCAATAAACTTAATGGAAAAATAAATAAATAGAGTAGATATTCGCCAACTGCAAAAAAAAAAAAAAAAAAAAAAAAGAATGAACAGCAGCCAGGAGCTGGCGGTCAAGTGGGGACTATGTGGGTGCAGGACAGGAGAGGCCCAAGGAAGCATCTCCAGAGGGCCAAGGGCAGAACTGGTGGACGACAAAGGGGCGGGTTCCTACGCCGCTGACCTTCACCCGGCCTCGCCTGTGCCATCTTCCAGGGTCCCCCGGTTCCCAGCTCCACGGACGCCCTCTCCCTCGGACAGAGTGGTGCACGGCTAGCACAGAAGCACGCGCCTCCCTGCGGATGGAAACGCCTCTCAACGACCTGCGACAACCCCTCACCTCACTGGATGGCAGGGTCATGCCACGGAGTGATGAGGGGAACAGTGTCTGCTCGCGTCCCCACTGCAAGCCCTTCCCCACGTGCTGGTCGAGTCTGTCCTCCGGGGCCTCTTGTTCTAGGCCCTGCTCGTGGAGACTTAGGGATGCCCGAGGGACTGCAGGCTGAACACTCACAATTGCGCCCAGGATTCCCCAGCTTTCCCCAGCTTTCCCCAGGGCCCAGATTTGGAGCTGGATTTAAGAACTGCCTCTCCCCAGTGCCGCTACAAGGCCGTCACAATAAGCAGCCGAAGATACATTTGTGCTGTACTTTTTCCTCATTCTTCTCCAAAGTGGGTCCACTCTAGAGGTAAAAGGTAAAATGTAATGCAGTGTCCTGCATGGTGGTGGTCTGTGGTTCCAGCCACTTGGGTGGATGAGATAGGAGAAGAGATTGAGTCTAAGAGTTCAAGACCCTGTTTAAAAGAATGAATGCAGAAAACAAACCCTGTAGTCAGGACAAATCTGGACCTTCTCGACAGGCAGGAGTGAACGAGGACATTTCTGGGCAAGTCCTGTTTAAATCGGTGACACTGCAGGAGAAAACAAATGGGTAAAACAAATTTCAAAGCGTTGACATCATTCTGAATATGTTTATTCCACACCAGTAAAGCCAGTTGGAAAAACAGAAATGAAATAACTTGACGACCAAGATGATCCCAAATTTCAGCTGGCCTCTTGGTCCTCTTGTTTCGCATTTCAATAACAAAATCAACTAGCGACCGAAGTAATGTATGACCTAACTGTCCCGCTAATTTAGTGATGGTCGCCCTGACACCGTTCAGTTTCTGTCAACAGACCTCCTCCGTCCTCAGTCCTTGGCTTGTCGCAGGCTTCTCTCTGACAGACTGAGGCAGCAGCGGCTCAGACTCAGGGGAGGGAGGGAGGCACGGTCCGGGACGCTCCTGGGACGAAGCCGCAGCTCTGCGCCGGCAGCCCCGGGTGAGCCCCCAGCCTGGAGCGGAGTGGGCTGGGGGGGCGGCCTGCCTGGCCCTCGGCTGCCCTCCCGCGGCTGCAGACCTCCGCCTGCCCTGAGAGAAGTGAAGGGGGCGCGGTCCTCGGCTCGCAGGAGGAGGATCCCTGGGAGACCCTCCAGCCCGGAGGAGTCTGGCTGCGGAGAGGGCGGACAGAGAAGGGGCTCCCGCAGGCACCGCCAGGCTCAGAGCGCACCAGGCCCTGGGAAGCCGCGCACTGAGCGGCTGGTATGGGGCAGAGGCGAAGGGCACCTTCTCCTGCTGGAGGGGCCTCAGGCAAAGGGGGCTGGGAGAGGGACGAGAGGGAGGGCAGGGGAGGGCAGGGGAGGGCAGGGGAGGGGGAGGAGAGCAAGGAGGGGCGGGGCCAGGCGGCTCCCTCCTGGCGCCTTCCCGGGGGCGGAGCCCGTTCCCGCTACGCCCCTCCAGGACCCCGCCCCGGCCCGGGAAGATGCGGAGGCCGCGCGGCTGCGTCCCACACTGCAGCCCAGGCGG